CCTTATCACACTGGTCAGTCATGGGGGCATGAACAAAACCTCAAGACGTGAAAAATCCATATCCTTTTGTTTTCCAAATAGCTTAATAATTATTAAAATTATTGCAAAATATTCATATACCCTAATTAAAATAAAAGAGAACACAAATACAAATAGTGAACATATTATTAACATGTACTGTAAAATACATTACTGGCATGCATTCTGAAGATCAAGACCTCTATTCAGTTCAGCCAATACCTTCCTTTCATGTGACTTATCAGATACCAACGATAGATAGGTGGGGCCTAGTTTATCAGCACAGTTATTGGTCTTTAAGTATCTGTTTTGTCTTAAAAAAAGAAAAGTAATATGTTTTGCAGTGGTACTATAATCATAATTATACAGTCATGTACATACGTGGTTTAAGTTTATTATTATTATTTTTTTTAGTCTGCTGAGATCTTTTTCAATTTTCAATTGTTTTAAACATTTCCCCAATATTTCGTGTCTGAGAGAATAGGGCTCTATGAAAACATGGCATTCGAAAACAAACAGTGAACCAAAGTACAACATCAGATGGTAAAGTGCAAAAGTCCTCACAAACTGTACAGAAAATTTCAAAACCTTGCAACCTGGAAGTACATACGTAGAAAGACAGGTCAGCCCCAAAACAGTCACTGTGACTCTCTGTGCTTCATCCTAGAGAGTCTGGTGGGACTTGAGTCTCAACACTCCCTTTGGTTGGGAAGGTCCAAAATTGCAGCCAAGTTGGCAGTGCTGATGCCAGTGACTTATTAAGCCAAGATAAAGTAAGAATATTTCATAAAGCAGCTGTGTAGGACACTTGGATCCTCTAACATTGATCTCCTGGCTGGGGATGCTCCTCCAGTGATGGGCAGCGGGCAGGACCAAAAGAGTCCTCTGCCAGATTGGATGACGAAGTAACTGAGGTCTTCCTCCTCCGTGGTTCCATGGAATGGAACAGGTTAGATAACCAGGTTATTATAACTGACATACTTCTTTTTTGCAGCAGGGCCTGAAAGAAAAAGGTGAAAGAGTCAGTTGTGGCAGTAACCTTATTGGCAAAGGTAGAAGCAGAATTAGATCTGTGATGACTTGGGTGCAGTCACGATGGGACAATGCACCGTTTGGAACGTGCCAATCACTTTGGATGCCTATGACTATTTGCTAAGGTTTTTTCCACTAAAATCTTCAATGTCCAGCAGTTCTCAATTCATCTGGGCTCTATTCTGAGATGTCCTCAATCTCCCCCTGTTATAATGGTTTATAACATTAGTAAATTCATCAGTGGTTATCATGCTTTCTCATTAGTCACCCCTAAGCTTAAAGGGTTGCAGTATATTTTGTTGTGTGTCCTTCTCCCAGACCTTTTTCATAATAAATAACCTTTGCTTAGGAAAGGTCTGTTTTGCATCACTGGATTTTACTTTGGTTGACTGCTGATTGGGTCATCCAGAGTGCCTTCTCCAGTTCTGATTGACGCAGTCAAACTACCATAGATTGACTTTTGTAGTGTTTATCGTCAGTAAATTGTATATGATAATTCACAGAACTATTTCCATCAAGGTTTGAAGCTACTTAAATCTTCCAGGTGTCTTAACACACACAGCCTACATTTGTTTTCCTTAAATGTAGAATAAATTATTTTTCTGTTTGGCACAGTGATTTCGGAACTCACCTTCACTCACTCACTCATTCATTCAATCATTCATTTGTAGATATGTGTCTGTCTCTCGCCTCTCCTCTGCCAGACATGAGGCTAGGCACTGATGAGCAGCTGATGAGAACATCAGACCCTTTCCTGATGCTGAAAACAAAGACACCAAGATCCCAAGGTATGACTCTGTTTTATGTTCTAGCTCTTAATACTGAGTAGTACAATCATTGTGATGTGGAATGTTCTTTATTCACTCAATCTTAGTGGTTTTTCATCAGCTTCTGTTGTACACCAAGTAACTGTCATGTAGCATTTGTTTTACTTACTGATCTTAGATTCTAAATAGTACTGTTCATGTAACACAAACAAGTAGCAAGAATTCTTCCAGAACTCTAAAGTAGGGATTTAAGTGTGAATTTAGAGGAACAGAGACGTCACAATAACGTGCTGAGAGCAAGTTTGTATCTGAACTTTGAGTAACGCAACCAGTATGTTACGGATGCACATATGCACATGTACACTACACAAAAAAGGCTGATCTTATTTTCTGGGTTAAAAATTTGGATACTCCTTCTGGAAAATTCTGATTTGAAGACTCATTTCTCTAGTACAGCATATTGCACTTATTAACCAAGTTAGATGAAGAATAGAATTACATAATGCGTGTTCACTCAAATGCGTGTATTTAGTAATGCCCAATTCCTCTAAGCAAGTTTCCTTTGTTATCACAGCCTTCCCTGTCTTCAGCAAATGCTTGGTTTGAGTGGAAGGAGAACAACTTGCTAAAGATGTTTTATTTTTCTTTGACTCCGAAGCCTGTTTACAATGTCATAGCTAGAACACCCTGGCTGGCAGTTGCGAGAAATAGTCGCAGTGTACCTTGTCAAATACCAACATATTAATTATCCTCAGGACAAAGAGGGGGTAAATCAACAAACCCAAAACCTTACACCAACCCAAATACCTGAGACCACCTCTATTGTGTGATGAATCAAGATTGTTTTCTACCTAAGCATAACTGTCTCGTGAAAACAGCAAGACATATTTGAAATTCCTCAAACAGGTTTACTTTAAAACACCTATTAGTCAGGAAGAGCCTTTGATGAAAGAATAAGTAAGTTAGAAAATAATTGTCCTTGCATTGTCAAGCTGAACATCAGTTTTCATAACACTATAATCGAGATGAGCTTATGTTTAAAAAACTTAGAAATGATAATAATGAAATTCACTGATGCTTGGCATGGATTAACTTGTGTTTTCAAGTAGCCTTGGGGTAAGTGCTGTTTATGATTCTCCATTCACAAAGGAGGGGCCTGGGCTGACATGCCCAGGTTCTGATTCAGCTCTATCACTTCCTTGAGGTGTGGCCTACATCAGTCCAACGACACTGAACTTCTCTGAGCCTTTGTAAAATGGGTAGGATAATTGCCTCCCGGTGAGCTGTTAGTGGCAAGAACATATGAAATATCCCCGTTTTGCATCTGGTAACATAACGCATAAATGTTTTTTTTAAATTACAAAGTTCTATACAAATGATTAGCCTCCGTGCATGGTTTCTTTGCAGAACAGCTCAGGAACATTGCAGCAAAATGATAATGGGGTTGTGCAGGCCCTACAAAGGCAATTTATGTACTTTTCAGAGCAATGTCCAAAGTTTATGATGTTTATATTTAAGCCATCCTAGCCCTATGAGTCAATAAAATAAGTGCCTATGCTGTCCAGTAATTTCATTTATTTGAATAGTAGTGTAGTTGATGGCCTAGGAAAGAAAATTGCATAGCTCAAAATAGTTGTGGAGTAAAACACTTGCTAAGAAAATATACTTTTATTTTAAAACAGCTAGAATGTTTTTCTTATAAAGTTATAAGTTTTAAGGAGCAAGATGAATATATGGCATGGCCCCTATTGAATTTTTAAAAGATATCTACACCAGTAGTTCTCAAAGCAAGGTATCTTGAATAGTTGATGTTTACAATGAGGCAAGCGTGCGGACACTGGCCTTTGAATTACTAATGTGCCTTCGCTACTTAAGAAAGCTCAGACATTCCAACTCACTTTTGGTGTCTGTCAAAATCAAGCTCAATTTGACATTAACTTCAGTTAACTAGTTTTGTGTTTAATTTTCTCTGAGTCTTTTTGTCTCACAAAAATTTCATTTCTGAAAGTGTGGGCTGTGGCAGGCACACTTATAACCCAGATCACAGGAAGTGTAGAAAAAAAATAAATAAAAGAGTCCATGAGAAACATTGAATTATAGGAAATACTGAATACGTAAAATTATATAGGGATCTTTTCCCTACCCTGCATTTAATTTCTATATTTTTAAAATAAGGAATTCTGTGGTTCATTGACATTATACCACGTGTTTTCCTGAGCTCTTTTAAAAAAATTAGATGTGCATGTATAGAAGTATGTATGTATAATTGTGTGTATGAAGTGATTCAAAGAGCCACAAAAAGTGAAAACAATAGTATATCACAACCTCGAATATAACACATGTTGACATATTGACATCTTTGCTTCCTGTGCCCCTCCATCCATCCAGAGGAAATAGAACATAGCAGAAGCCCTTCCCACTTTTCCATCCCCACTGCAGCCCTCTCTTCTCCTCACCAAAGCTAGTATTCTGATGTTGGTGTGCATCCTTCCCAAGGTGGCCTCATACTCCTAGTGCCCATAAACTATAGATTATTACTTTGTGTTTTTTAAATTGTGCAAACATGGTATAATTCTGTGAGCATCCATTTGCAACCTGTTTTTCACATAACATTGTGGTGTTAAGATGTTGTGTTGATTTGGTCATCACGGTTACTAAATTGTTTTCTTGTAAAAACATAACAAAATTTTCATAATTGTTTTCTTATTGATGGACCCTACTTTCTAATTCTTTCCGATAACAAGACGGTATCTGAAAACTAACATCATTTATAAAGTTAAATGACATAGCTATAGACTGGGCAAATTTATTTGCAATATATTTACCTGACGGAGGATTGATATAAAAATATTTTAACTTATGTAAATTAATAAATAAAAGGCACTCTAATTTTTTAATGGATTAAAGATATAAAAAGACAACTTGTAGGTGAGGAAAAATGAATGAGTGAAAAATACTCAACCTCATCGGTAAAAGAAATGCAAATTAAAATGACGAGATAGTATTTCTTGCCCCTACCATTACAAAGTAAGTGTACTGATACCAAGTATTGATGAGGGTGTGAAGAAGTGAGAATTTTTTGGCCACACTGGTAAGTTGGTACAGTTACGTGGGACAGTGATTTGGAAATATTTAGAAAAACTGAAGATATGCATATCATTGATCAAACACTTTATTGCTAGATATATATCCCATGTGCACGTACGTATAGTGCATCTCTGAGTCTTTCATATAATGATGTGCTTTTTGATTCTCTAAGGGAATTTTCTTGTGGGGACTGAGCACATAATATGAGTGAAGTGGGCCAGGTGTAAGATGGTAGGGAACAGTATGAACCACAATGAGTTACAAAACACCTGCCCCACCTAAACAGCATAATCACTGTGGGATGTCACCTCAGTTCAGTCAGATATCTCTTTTTTGAAGAAGAGCTGAACTTCTATATTTTTACATAAAATTTCATTTTTCATTTATTTGAAAATATCATTTCAAAATTTATTTTTCATTTATTGAGCACATATTATGAGTTGGGATCTATTCTTGGCATTAGGCATTCTGTTTTTAGCAGAGGATTCAAAATCAAATTAAAATATTTAGCAAGTCAGAAGAAAGAAACCAGAGCATCTCTAGGCTGTCAGTTTGTAACTCTGTGACACTATTTGTACTGTTTCCCACATCGATATGATTATATAGCCCCCCTTTTCAGTAGGTCCCTTTGTGCTATATGAGAACATACTTTTGAAATACATTTTGGTTATTCCTTAAATCTTGATCCTGCATATTACTTTAGTCATTAGTAAAGCTAACCAAACTTTGGGATACCGGTTGATTGGCCACTGAGACTTTGTCCAAACTGACTTTTCTCTGAATCCATTCCAAACAGTGTCTGCCCCTGTCAACCAAAATTCAGAGTTGTGGTGGTTAAACCTATTTCAGCTGGAGGGATTCTTCATATTACGATTTGCAGTTACTAAACAAAAGGAAATACTTCATTTAATAATTGCTCCTGTGGTCAATGACCTGTTTCCTGCCTGTGGGTTTCATTGGTAAATTGCTCCTAGCCCATGACTTAATGGCAGAAGAGATGTTACCTTCAACTGTTAATTCTCATTCAGGATTTCAAAAAGGCTAGTGAACTTCCTATATTTTGTGTGTGTGTGTTTTTTAAGGTAATTCATTTTATAATGATTTCTCCTACATC